CTCTTCAGCTCAAGGCTAGGGCTCTACCACTTGAGCCACAGTGCCACTTCCGGCTTTTTTCTTTTTGCTTATGTGGTGCTGAGGAATCGAACCCAGGACCTCATGCATGCAAGGCAAGCGCTCTACCACTGAGCCACCTTCCCAGCCCATACACTTGCAAATTTCTAAGAAACTCCTAGGTGATACCATGTACCAGATTTTGAGTAAGCTGGGTGTAGAAAATCAATCCAGTTTAAGCTCTTCAAAGCTTAAAATTATGGGCTTATCTGTAAATCAGCCTGATTATTTAGAATATCAAAGAGATTCCAGATACATACACCTGCACTACTTGTGTCTAGTCATTCCCTCAAACACTCTGAAATTAACTGGTAATCTTCACCAGATGTAGAAAAAGAAAAGAACATGAGTGGAGCTACAGCTCAGTAGTAGAGGACTCTATACTATGTACAAGGCTCTGGGTTCTATCCAAGCAGTAGGGTGAGGGGAAGAACAGACATTATACACATACCACACATACCACACATAGACACAATACAAACATCAAAATGTAACTAAACACACTAGCTTTCTCAAAATATGGATTTTTAAAAAGCTCACTCTTTAAATTGTTATTATAAGAGTAATGTACAGAGGGGCTACAGTTACATGTCAGTTAAAGAGTACATTGCTTTTTGCACAATGTCACCCCTTCCCTCTTGGAGTTTTTCCCTCCCATCACCACCCGTAAGTTCTACAGTTCATTTTCAACACAGTGTCTAGTGAATATCACTGCTGCATTTGTTTAGGCTTTGTCCCCCCATTTCTGTACTTCCCCTTCGCCTCCCAAAAACAGATAAGCAAATTTTGATAAAAAGAAAATGAAAACATCAACTAAGAAAAAACTCATTTCCATTTCCTGGTGTTCATTTCGATAAATATTATTCTGTATGATGAAAGACATACAGTATATTTTTATTTCTGGAAAAATCTTCCTATGTTTCAAATGCCTTGTAAATGATAAGGATTTGGCATTCTGGTTTAGTTCTCATGTAAATATTCATAATGTTACAAAAGTCTGGAGATTTTTCTACTATTACCAAATAATCTTTGCTACTTATCTAAAATTTCTAATAGGGTTATTACAACCAATTTTATTTGTGGTAAGTTTTCTTTTTGGTTTTAAAAAGTATAAGCAGGCTGGGAATGTGGCTTAGTGGTAGAGTGCTTTGCCTAGGGACAGAGCCCAGGCCCCAGAACTTGAGGGGTGAGGAGGTGGCGGTGCAATACATCATCCTGCCCAGGTGCTCTAATATATAACCACAAGCCATGGTCACAATTAAGCTGTTTCTATGATTCCCAGTGCTAGATTCCATGAGGAGTGGGAACCCCTCGATCCTATTATAACCAATAGGAACAAAACTTCTAATTCTCCAAAATATTCCTCAATGAAGAAAAATATAAGAAGTAATGCATGCAGTGACTGTCTTGTATAGGGTAGTCACTCTGTCTTAACCCGAGTCTCTGTATTGACAAGGTGCAAATATGTGAAAATGAAGGAACAAAATCCCTGTCCACGATAGTGGAAGGACATCATGGCTGCATACTGGTCTTCCTCACTCTCTTCTAAAGAATAATCCAATCTCAAGGTGCTTCTGCACTATAACGGATATGGCTCCAGTTGTACTGGGAAGGAGGCACGTCGATTGCAACGTTGGCACCAACAAGCAATTTACGAGTCCCTGCTACTTACTAAAATCACTTTAAGATTACTTCTCTCACACACCACCACCCCACAAAATCACTGCGAAAAATGACACATGCATTGGGCCTCAAAATAATTTTGCTGAATCACAAATATCCCCAAAAATTAAAGCTGCGGGAATCGCAAGGCTTGAACACCGGCGGCCATACCTCAGCCTAAAAGCTTTCCGAAAAGGTCTACTCCCTATTTACTTTTTCACTGGAGGCAAGGAAGGGTCTGACGTTAAAAGCTTTCACAGTACCGCTCTCAGAAGCGAGACTGGGGGGGGCCTGCAGTAACAACACACCGTTTTATACTAAAAAGAGCAGCCTCTCAAAATCTGCACTATTTATCCTCCCAAGGGCAAATGCAGCACCCAGGCCTAAGACCCGAGCCACAGAGAGAACCGGGAGATCGGCGCAGCCTGGAAAACCACCTCCGTCACCTCGCACCTCGATTCCTCCACACCCTGCTTCCCGCTGCGGGCTGATCGCGGGGCCTGGCGCCCGGGGACCCCGGGCTACAACAAGGCCCGACACTAAAGGCCGCCTTGGCCTCCCCGGTGCTAGCCCTCACCTCCCGGGAGACCGGGCTCCTTCCTCGCTTCTCTGAGTCTCCGCTGCCCAACCCACTCCGCGCTCCCACTCGCACGCGCCCTGCGGCTCTCCGGCCGGGCCTCACCGTTTGGTTCGGTCCGGAATAGCCAAGTCCTCTCGTTTACACTCCTCAGCACGAACTGGCGTCGGTTAGTCCCGCGCCCCACGCTGCCAGTCAACACGCTGCCGCCTACTGATGCCGAAAACAGCTTCTAGGAACGCGCCATGTTCCGCGTCGCAACTCGCCACGTCACGGGCGCGCTAATATTACGTCAAGGCTTCCTGAAGCACGTGGGGCGGGCAAAGGAAGCAGACCATAGGCTAATGGCGAGGAGAGGAGGCGGGGTTTCCTGTTCGAACCCAAAGGCGCCCGGTATCTAAATCAGTGGTGTGCGCTTGCGCGTTTTTATAAAAAACCTGGAGCCTTCTTTACTAGGATCTGTAACCATGGCAACCGTGGATCCGCGTCAAGCCAGCCCGGGGAAAATCAATCCTCTCCTGAGCTGACGGAAACTGAACTCAGAACCAATTTATCCTCATCTTTCTAGATATTAATGGCTTGTTTTACAGTTTTCTCACAGCAGAGATTAACAGAATCCTCATTCAACTCGATCCACCATGTGGATTTCTTTTTAATTCTTGAACTCCTGGATTTAGTACTGCAAAGACTGTAAACATTTATTTTTACTTTTTTATTATCATGCATTAGTTGTATAAGGGGGTTACATTATAACACTTCCACACACGGATATGATGTATCAAAAAACTCTCTGTCTGTCTGTCTCTCTCCTCTCTCTCTCTCTCTCCCTCTTCCTCTTCCCATCACAGTCCCTCCCCCCCTTCCTTCCCAAAGGTTTCAACAGGTCTCAATGTTCTACTTTCCTAGACGCAAACAACTTTCAACCACCTCCTTCATTAGCCATTCCCCTCTCTCAGTGGCATCCCAACACACTGGATGAAGCCTGCCCCACTTTCTTGTCATTCAGTTTTTCCTTTTGGGGTCCTGTCACTCAGATTTTTTGCTCAAGGCTGCCACTCTGCCACTTGTGCCACAGCTCCACTTCTGGTTAATTGGAGATTAGTCTTACAGACTTTCCTACCATGAATGGTTTTGAACCATGATCCTCTGATCTCAAAACTGCTGAATAGCTAGAATTATGGGCATGAGCCACCAGCACCTGGCTCATCACAATAGTGTTTATAAGTGAATATTTTTATCAGAGAGAGAAAAGTATAACCATGGAATTAAAAGTCAAAATGTGTGTAAGGAATCAGGAATGTTAGAGGTTTGTGAATGTTAGAAATGCCAAGGAATCCTTCTTTTCTATAGTCTCTGGAAGTAACTCAGTCCTGAGCATAATTTTGAGCTTTGTCTCAGAATCCTGATAATAAATTTATGTTGTTTCAAATCACTCACTTGTTAGAGCCAAAAGAGAAAACGAATATATGTCCAAATTGTAGTCTTTCTAATTCGATACATGTAATTTTACTATTACAACTTGTGTAAAATTAGGTCTTGGACTGCTCAAATTTACAATAGAGCTCATTAGATGTTTACAAATTAAATTGTACCGAGTTTACCACATACAAGATTAGGAAAATATATCTTGAAGAAATGATTTTGCCGGGCGCCGGTGGCTCACTCCTGTAATCCTAGCTACTCAGGAGGCTGAGATCTGATGATCGCGGTTCAAAACCAGCCCGGGTAGGAAAGTCCGTGAGACTCTTATCTACAGTTAACCGTAAGTGGCACTGTGGCTCAAGTGGTAGAGCGCTAACCTTGAGCTAAAGAGCTGAGGGACAGTGCCCAGAACCCAAGAGTTCAAGCCACACGACCGACAAAAAAAAAAAGGAAAGAAAAAGAAAGATTTCATATACCCTTGCAAATATAACTCATACCTGACCTGATTAAAAAAACAAAATTTTAAACAACATGGATGTCTTCTGTAAGGACTGATCATCATATACATTACTATATAGTCATAGAATACATACACAATAGTAGTTAGTTAGCTGGAAACTACAATTCCCGGCTGCCATCGGGCTCCAACGTGGGTGGTTCCCAGAGCGTGAGTAGGCGGGGACTGGGCTCGCCTCTGCCCCTTGCTGCGCTGGGCGGCGTTGGCTTTGCGGGGCTCTAGTTTCCACGTGGTGCGGTGAGGGCAGCTAGGCCCACCTCGGTTCCCTTGGGCACCCTGGCCCTCGGGGCCCGCTTCCCGCCGAGATGCCGAAGGTGAAGTCGGGTGCGAGTGGCCGTCGTCGTGCACGGCAGGAGCAGCGCGGAGAGCTGAAGCGGGCCGGAGGTATGGCCGGCCGGGGATGGGGAGGTGGGGGGGTGAGCTGGAGTTCCGTCCGGGCTTCCGGGGCCCTGAGCCGGGACGCTTTCTGACCCAGGAGGCGCGGCTGGAGGGGTGCGCTTGTATCGCAGGACGTCCGATGGCCTGATCGGCGCCGAAACCGGCCCCCTTCCCATCCTGCTTCTCCTCCCGGACGGCCTTGGTATTTCATTGGTAGCTGGGAAGTCAAGCAGTTTCGTGTTTTTCTTCCAGGACTCATGTTCAACACGGGGATTGGACAGCACATTTTGAAAAATCCTCTGATTGTTAACAGCATTATCGATAAGGTGGGTGTGGGAGAGGACCGGGGAAAAGCTGTTGGCTTACTACTTGTATCCATTTTTCGACAGTTGTATAGCCGAATTCTACAAGTTAATCTTACTCTTAAAGAATACTTCATCCACCAGGCAGCAGCCTTCACGAGCAAGGGATCTTCGCCACTGATTGTGTCCCTCAGCCTCAGGTGACCCAGAGTTAGTTTGCGGTCTTGGTGTGCTGGTCAGTGGCAGAGAGGGGAGACCACGCTTTTGGGCCCCAAAGTGAGTGACCAGCTTGTAAATGAGCGTCCTGGGAAGACATTCAGCTAACTTCAAAGTCAGCAAATCACACAATGTGCTGGCTTGGGAAGCTCCCTCAAATTTCAGCCTACAAGTCACCTCCTCAGAGGAGATATCCGATCTGAAGTATTAACCTAGGGTCTCCTACTTTAAGTGTCCAACATTAATCATAAATATTTCCTGTGTGTGTATGTGTGTGTGTGTGTGTGTGAGTGATCCTCCCGTGCTGTCACCGCTGAAACATAGGATCATAAGAGCAGGTCTTGCTTGCATTGTGTATCTTGTTTAATGGAATATACCGAGAGGCTACGGCAGTTTTTATCACCTCAGATGTGCTCAACAAATACTTATTTAGTATTTAGTTTGGGTGTAGTAGTATACACTTGTAATCCCAGGCATAAGATTGCCAGTTTGAGGCCATCCTGGGCTACATAGTAAATCTGAGCCATAATAATGAGCACTCTGAAAATAGTTATGGAGTGCGATAACAGTTGCCCACAGTATATTATATGCTTCATTCTGTAGACCTAGATTTCCTGTGACTCAAAAATCCTGTGTCTTTCTCTGTATTGTCTTCTGTCCGGACTTTTTTACTTGTTCAGTCCCAGATTATTGTTCTTCCAATCACTTTCTAAAGTACCATGTTGCTGTTACTTTTCATTTATTCCAGAATTTAAACTCTGTCCAAACCACACATTAGTTGGTTCCTCAGAAAAACATATAAATTATTTCAAGTATTTCTCCTATATAGATTATTCATAACTCTTTTATTATGGATGATTGAGTGCCAGGATATAAAGCAAAGTTCATTTCCAATATACTGTCTTGTGCGTATTGTTGTTGCAATGGGTCATCCTGTGTCCTTGTTTCAGCATTTTGTTATTCCCCTTCTCCTCCCCAAATTAGGTAAGATGCAGGGTACCAAAATCAAGTACAGTGACAATAGGGGATATATCATAGGGGAAAGAACATAGAAAGAAAACAAAAAAATCACATAGTCTCCACTTCCTAACAAATGGGGCAGTTCATTCTTTCTGGTGGAAGCATACAATTCAAGTGTGTGTGTGTGTACCACATTTTCTTGATCCATTCATCTACTGAGGGGTATCTGGGTTGGTTCCATATCTTAGCTATGGTAAATAATGCTGGGATAAACATAGTCGTGCTGGTAGCTTTAGTATGGCCTTGCTTGTGATTGTTTGGGTAAATGCCCAAAAGTGGGTTTGGGTCATAGGGGGAGCTCTGTGTAGGCATCTGAAGAACCTCCATACTTCTTTCCAGAGTGGTTGAACAAGTTAACATTCCCACCAATAATGCAGTCGGGTTCCCTTTTGGCCATATCTCCTCCAGCATCTGTTGTTTAATTAGAGTTCTTGATTATAGCCATTCTAACTGGGTGAGGTGGAATCTCAATGTTGTTTTGATTTCCATTTCTTTTATGGCTAGGGAGGTTGAGCATTTCTTCATGTGTCTATTGGCCATCCTTCTTTCCTCTTCAGAAAAGTCTCTAAGTCTTTCGCCCACCTATTAATCGGGCGGTTGTGTCTTTGAGGATTTTTTTTTTGGAGGATTTAAATTTTTGAATTCTAAGTATATTTTAGTTATGAGGTCTTTGTCATTGAATAGCTAGTGAAGATCTTCCATAGGCTTTCTATTCATCTTACGAGCTATTTCCTTTGCCATGCAGAAACTCTGCAGTTTCACGCAGTCAAATTTGTCCAACCTTTCTTTGGTTTGTTGTGTTTCTGGGTCTTTATTAAGAAAATTGTGGCCTGTGCCAAGGAGCCCTAGAGTTTCTCCTATTCCTTCCTGTAATGTTTTTAGGGTATTTGCTTTTACTTTGAGGTCTTTGATCCATTTGGAATTGATTCTGGTGCAGAGTTACTAATTACTTTTAAGATTTGGAAAGTAATGTTCTGGAGCTTTACACAGTACAAAGAATCTTATGTAGTTACAGTATTGACAGCTGCATGTTTACATGCTTCCAGTTTGGAGTTCAGTTTCTTGTCATCTTCTGAAACTAATAGTTTGAGAAATCTTCGTTTAGTAAGAAGATTCTCAGGCAAATACATCATATACAGTCCTCTCTTATTTCAACTGTTGATAGGAACAGAATTTGTAACTTAACAGCTATTGAATAATTTCCAAGGTAGAAAGCAGGAAGCCAGTCATCATAGCAAAAACATTTATATGTGCTTTTTGTGTGTGTGTGTGGATCCTGGGATTTGAACTCAGAGCCTGTCCACTGTCCCTGAGCCTCTTTGTGCTCAAGGCTAACAGTCTTCCACTTGAACCACAGCACCACTTCTAGCTATTTCTGAGTAGTTTATTGGAGATTAGAGTCTCATCGATTTAACTGCCCAGGCTGACTTTGAACCAGGTTTCTCAGATTTCAGTCTCCTGAGTAGCTTGGATTACAGGTATAAGCCAGTGCCTAGGAAAATCTCTCTTTTTACAAAACAAAACAAAAACAAAGCCTATGTTGGCCTTTAACTAGAGATCCTCCTGCCTCTATCTTCTGAGTTCTGATAAAAATGAGGTCTCTTAAATAAGCATTGATGATCAAAGATGTTTAGGTGTAAACTCTGTGTTCAGATGCACCAAGCACTCACTCAAGGATTGTGCTTTGTTTTTAGGCTGCTCTAAGACCAACAGACGTGGTGCTGGAAGTTGGGCCTGGAACTGGCAACATGACCGTAAAGTTATTAGAAAAGGCAAAAAAGGTAAAAAGAAGATTTCATGTTTAGGTGTCAGAATTGACTATAAAGAAGCTCAGTTGGTTTCCAAATACAAATCTGTTTAAATTCGTTGCTATTAGTAATAATTCTTGATGTCTTAATAGAATTTTGATCTTTGAAAATAGGAAATATATTAGGAGAACAAACTGCACTGGATATATTAACAGGGAGTATAATGTAGGAATTGGTCACAGACTTGTTAGAGGAAAGAACAAAATGGGAGCACCAAGATAACCCAAAATGAATTGCAAAGAACAGCTAATTACTTCTAGGCCTAGAGGAACAAAAGAAAAAGAAGTTTAACTTACTGTAAACCAGAACTTTTTTGTTTTAATTTTGAAGGTTACCTGGGTTTAGGCTGAATATTGTATTGGTTAAACAAGCACCCATTTAAACCTCCACAAGTCTTTTTTGCTTCCAATGTTTTTTCCCCCTGGTCCTGTGTGATGAACTTAGGGCCTGGGCACAGTCCTTAAGCTTCTCTTGCTCAAGGCTAGTGCTCTACCACTTGAGTCACAATTCTACTTGTGGCTTTTTTGGTAATTTATTAGAGGCTCAGACTCTCCTGTCTGGGCTGGCTTCGAACAGCAATCCTCATATCTCAGCCTCCTGAGTAGCTAGGATTACAGGCGTGAGCTACCAGCACCCAACTGCTTCCATTTTTTTTTTTTTCAGTTGTGCTTTTTGCTTGGGGCTTGCCTCAGGTTTCCATCCCACATATGCCTCCTGCATAGCTAGGATTAAATGGAACTGTTGGTTTGTACTTGGAAGCAGATAACATTTTATTTTTTTTGTCGGTTTTGGGGCATGAATTCTGGGCCTGGGCACTGTCCACCTCAGCTCTTCAGCTCAAGGCTAGGGCTCTATCACTTGAGCTACAGCGCTACTTCCGGCTTTTTCTGCTTATGTGGTCCTGCGGAATCAAACCCAGGGCCTCATGCATGCAAGGCAAGCACTCTACCACTGAGCCACTTTCCCAGCCCAGCAGATAACATTTTAAAGAGCTTGTTTGAAGACTGTTAAATGAAAATAATATTTAGAGTTTTATGGGAATGGAGTTCAAGGAAATCAGTAAAGATTAGAGAAATGTTAAGGACTAGCCACAGGAAGCAAGTACTCTCTGAAATCTTAGGAGAAAGGGGAGAGAACGTTGTTGCCAGAACCCAGGGGACGTGGAGTTAATGAGGAGGAGCCATTCATAATAGAATGTATTTACCACCAAAACTTCTACAAGGCATGGTCAGTCGTTAGGAAATAAATGCCTGGCCTTTCCATTATAGATACTTAATAATGCTGGTGTCTCACCCTGTCCCTACAGTGGTGCTGGGGCTTGAACTTAGGGCCTTCCATGAATTATGCAAATCTTTTATCAATGAGCCACACCCTCCAACCCCTTACTGATGCTTTTTACCCCAAAAGTAAAAGAGTAAGAAAGCTGTACTGCATTACCTTCATGGCACAGAAAAACTGGATCTGAGAGCCAACTAGAATAAGCAGCCTATGGCTCTATCCTGTAGACAGTGACTGACTGGAAGTCTGAAGCCTCCACTTATACTGCAATGAGATTGTAATGTCAGCCTTGTCCACTGTCCACTGTCATTTACTTGATCTGTCTGTACCTTGCCTACTGGAGCTCAGTATCAGAAAAGTGATACTTCATTCTAGGAGTAGTTGCCTGTGCGTCTCTGTCTTAAGAACATTGACTATGATAGATCTTGTTTGCTTTCACATGTTCAGTTATGTAGCCTGAGGATAGAAGAAATATCCTGTTAACTATTTGCATAGAATTCTCAGTAATCTTGTTTGCTTTCTGAGTGGTACAAAATACAAACTGGGGAGATTAGTGAGGGTAGAATTGGAAAAGTATGAGTTACTATTTGCATAATAAGAAAAGATTTATACTCCATAAATCAAGAAACTTTTTTGCTATTTGTTTAGGTAGTTGCCTGTGAACTTGACCCAAGGCTAGTAGCTGAACTTCACAAAAGAGTTCAGGGCACGTAAGTATAGGTAATGAAATTAAAGTACATGTTAGTTTGATATTTAGTACATTGTAACTAAATATCTTTTCTTACCTTCAGACCTTTGGCTAGCAAACTTCAAGTACTGGTGGGTGATGTACTGAAATCTGATTTGCCATTCTTTGATGCATGCGTTGCAAATTTGCCTTATCAGGTATGTTCTCAGCCTGTCAGAAACAACTTAAGTATCTCTCGGTGCCCTTCCTCAAAGTAACTAGTGGTTCTTTTACAGATTTCTTCTCCTTTTGTCTTCAAGTTGTTGCTGCACCGACCATTCTTCAGGTTCGTGACAGAAGACCAGAGTGACTGCCAAATGGTAGAAAATTGACAGTTTAGGCCCGGTGAATAACCAAAAATTAAGTCATTTGAAATACTGCTAGAAAATTTTATACAAAAATATTGATTTGTATGGAAGTCTCTACAGATTTACAGAGGTGTGTGTGTGTCCATGTGCGCATGCACATGTGCATGCATGCATGCATGCAGTGTACTTACATACCTTTCCATACTTGCTAGTTCTCTGCCACTTATTAGCCTAGAACAGGCTTGTTATTCTATGTCTAGATAATTGCAGCTGGTCTCTAGTATGGAATACTAGTATACTAATATAGTATACTAGTAACTCAGACTTCAAGTCAAACATCCCCTTAGTGGTTATAAAATAAATTAAGGGCATCATGACCATTTTTTTTTTCTTTTTTCTAAAGTTACTAGAATAGGCTATGGAGGGCATTGCATGGTCTAGGTGACTGTATCTCATGGTTTTGTTTGAGGTATATAAGCATATATTTAGACTTTTTTGCATTGTCCATACAATTTTTTGTCACACTGGAAGTTTGAACTAAGGACTTTGAGTATACCCTATTTGCTTGCTTGGTGCTTTACCACTTGGGCCTAGTGTCCAGTCATGCTTTTTGCCAGTTACGTTAAAGATGCAGTCTAGGAGACTTTTCTGTCTGAGCTATCTTTGAATAATGCTTCTCCAGATCTCTGTCTGCTAAGTAGCTAGGGTGATAGACCTGAGGCACCAACTTAAAAACTATTTTTTTCTACCAGTACTGGGCCTTGAATTCAGGGCCTCCATCCTCGCTTAGCTATTTTGCTCAAAGCCTTTTATGCTTGAGACACACTTTGACTTTTTGCTGGGTAATTGGAGATAGTTGCATGGACTTACCCTGCCTGGGCTGGCTCAAACCACAATCCCCAGATCTCAGCCTGTGACATTTCTTAATGTGAGTCATTGTCAACAACTGGTAGATTAAAATGCAGCAGTAATACTCACTAGACACGGTGTTGAAAATGAACTTGTGGGTGAGGATAAGAGGGAAAAACTGAGAGGGCAAGGGAAGGAGTAACATTGAGTAACATTGTCAAAAAGAGAAACATACCCTTTACCTGACTTATATAACTTTATCCCCTTTGAACATCACCTATATAATAGCAATTTTAAAACATTTTAATTGTAAGTTAGGTGTAGTGGGCTCATACTTGTAATCCCAGCCACACAGGAGACAGATTAGGAGGATCCATTCATGAGATGCCAAAGAGAATTGTGGGCCTTTGACTGCAGTCTGAGTTCAGTTCCAGGCATAAATATTAGATTCTTTGTAAAAGTAACTGAAACAAAAAAGATTGTGGGTGTGGCTCCAGGGGTACAGTGCCTGCCTAGCAAGCATGGGGTCCTTAGTTTAAACTTCAGTACTGAAAAAAAAGTTAACGGAAGTGCAATTTTAAAAGATGCACTTATCTTGTAGACGCAAACATTCTCCTCATTGCTTGCTGAGGAACAAATTCACATTGTTTAAACTGTTAAGCCATGGGCATCCAGAACGTCACCCGTCCTTCCAGCCTTACTTTTTGCTACTCCACAGGTATAATTCTGCTACAGACTCAACTTTCTAGTTTTTGCAGAAGTGTTAATGGCCTAGGGTAGCTCTGAAGTACTCATCAGTGAGGACACACCATATTCCTCAGGGCTGAGAGATGCAGCTAGTATAATACAAAAGCAGCCATCTGATTTTGTGGTAGTACAATAAAGCAAAGCCTAAAATAGTTAATATTCACCACTATTTCCCTTCCATTATAATGATATATAGTAAAAATACACTTCCTTCCTGCTTGCTTTCCAGATGTGCCATACTTATGTTTCAAAGAGAATTTGCTCTCAGACTGGTTGCTAAACCTGGAGATAAGTTATACTGCAGACTCTCAATTAATACACAGCTGTTAGCCCGTGTAGACCATTTAATGAAAGTAAGTGATTTTTATTATTGAAATAATGTAGCTTAAGTCATCCTTAAGCATCTAGCTTTACATTCTGTGAGGAAGTATCTTTGATGACTGTCTAAAGTTGCCTTTGGAAGGATAAGACATTTTTTGATTAACAGGTTGGGAAGAATAACTTCAGACCACCACCCAAGGTGGAATCCAGTGTTGTGAGGATAGAACCTAAGAATCCACCACCACCCATCAATTTTCAGGTGAGGATAAAATTCTAGGTCCTTTAATAATAAAGGGAAGAAAAGGCCACCTAGTGATGTGTCTTCAGCAACAGCCATTTCCTACAAAATGTAAATTGTGAAAATATATCCTTGTGATAGAGTAGAGGGAACAATTTGTTGGAAGATAAGTAAGAAGGCCACAAATACAAAGAAAGTGTAAAAGGCAAAGCAAAACAGTTAAAATGCAGTTGCTTTTTGTTTTGTAGCTACAAAAGCTTGTTTATATGAATAAAACTTAGAACACAAGGTAAAATGCAATGCGAAATGCCTGTTTTGAGTAATATTATAGTACCTTTTTGTTTGTCATCCTTGTGATGAACCATAGGTCCTTCAAGTGCCACTGAGCTATACCTCCAGCCTGAGGGATTTTTGTTTGTTTTTTGGTGGGGAACACTGTGTGTGCCCCCACGCACATGCATGGATATATGCCAATATACTGCTTGAACTTAGCCTGAGTGTGTGGGAATACTTTATGTATAGGCTGGTCCTGGGGCTTGAACTCATGGCCTGGGTGCTGCCCCTGAACTTTTTTGCTTAAAGCTAGCACTCTGATCACTTAAGCCATACTCCACTTCTAGGGGTTTTTTTGATACTTAATTGGAGATAGTCTCAAGGACTTTATTGCCTAGCCTGTGTTTCAACCACATTTCTCAGCTCTCATCCCTTTCAGTAGTTAGGATGGCAGGAATACTTTGAAATACCACTTTTTGTTTTTGTAAAACAAAATCTTTTAAGAAATCAAGACCACTTGAAGTCTTTTTTTTTTTTTTTGGGTCCAGTCGTGGGGCCTGAACTCTGGGCCTGGGCGCTGTCCCTCCTTCAGCTCAAGGCTATCGCTCTACCACTTGAGCCACAGCGCCACTTCCGGCTTTTCTTTCTTTTGCTTATGTGGTGCTGAGGAATTGAACCCAGGGCCTCAGGCATGCAAGGCAAGCGCTCTACCACTGAACCACCTTCCCAGCCCGCCACTTGAAGTCTTGATGTAAAACCATGATAGTCCTGTAATTAGGGAAACCGTGAGATGAATGGAAGATGGTTTGTGAGTTCTCTCACAAAGTCAGTCATGCTCACAAACTGTATCCTAATCTTGCCTCCTTTACATCTTACTTTTGAAAATGATACTTAAATGTCATACCCTTAGTTTGTTCTTATGTTTTACAGTTTTAGTTTTTTCAAATTTTTAAAAAGGCAAAAAATATAAGGAGGTGCATAAACGTACAGAAATCCAATATACGTCTTACTTTTGCATATGTGCAAGTTAGATCAAGGATTAGGCCATTTTCACTACTCCAAATATTTTCCTCCAGTTTTTATATATTAAAAGATAGTACCTTTGGCTGGGAAAGTGGCTTAGTGGTAGAGTGCTTGCCTTGCATGCATAAGGCCCTGGGTTCGATTCCTCAGCACCACATAACCAGGAAAAAAAAAGCCGGAAGTGGCACTGTAGCTCAAGTGGTAGAGCACTAGCCTTGAGCTGAAAAGCTGAGGGACAAAGCCCAGGCCCAGAGTTCAGGCCCACAACTGGACCCCCCACCCCCACCCCCAAAAAAGATAGTACTTTGCAGGCATAAGTAAAATTGGTATTTTCAAGAACTTATCCATTTGTATTTCAGGAATGGGATGGCCTAGTAAGGATCACCTTCGTTAGGAAAAACAAGACACTGTCTGCTGCATTTAAGTAAGTATTCTAACTTCTTTCTTTTCTGTTTATCTTTATACAAAGGGGTTTCGGTCGAACATACCAGTTTGTAAGTATAGTGTACCTTGTCCCATGTCAGTCATTCTCTTCCCAACTCCCCCGACCTCACCCATTTCTGAGTGTACTAATTTCTAATGTATAAAGGGTCAGCATTTCACATACCATACTATAATTGATACTTTTCCTGAAAAGTATCAATGCTCCCCTAAAGCATATTCCTTTCCAGAGAAATTTTACTTGCTAAATTTGTACTTTGAAAGGCCGAAGAATTTAATTTAGAAAGATCCTAGACGAAGGAGTCTGATCACAGTTGTTTTTGTAAATCAGGATTAAGCCCCAATGTCTTATGACACATATCTCTGATCATAAACGCTTCTCAAACTTGTGAAGGATTTGTGCCCTTATATTAACTTGGAAATGTGGAAAAACGTATCTTTGATAATAAACTCCTTTCAGACTTGTGAAGGATTTGTGTCCTTTTATTAACTTGGAAATGTGGAAAAACATATCTCTGATAATAAACTCCTTTCAAACTTGTGAAGGATTTGTGTATTAACTTGGAAATGTGGAAAAACATATCTCTGATAATAAACTCCTTTCAAACTAGTGAAGGATTTGTGTCCTTTTATTAACTTGGAAATGTGGAAAAACATATCTCTGATAATAAACTCCTTTCAAACTTGTGAAGGATTTGTGCCCATTTATTAACTTGGAAATGTAACACTACTTGAAATCCACAGGTAAAAAGAAGCAAGATGTACAAGTATTGAAGTTTTGTCTTCTTGTTTTAAATAAATGGAATGTTTTGTGAAGAGCCTAACAAACACCATTACAGCTTCTCTTTAGAATTTAAAAAGGCAGGCTAGTGGATAGTACTATATGCCTAATATACCCAACTACTCGGGAATCTGAGGCAGGAAAATCATTGGAGCCATTCATAGACAACATAGTGAGAACCTGTGTCTTAAAAAAAAAAGAAGCAACAAACAATACAGCATGTGGAATTTGATTAGATCCTGTTCTTTAAGAAAACAATTTAAAAGATGCTTATCAAAACTTTTCTAAATAGTGCTTGTTTTCTAAGTTTAAATATTCAGTGCTTTAGAAAATTCCTTAATTTCACTAAATGAAACAAGAATTTTGTTTAAATTGAAACAATGATGTAAAATTATGTCTGATCTGATTTTGGAATACTTTTATCACTTCCTTCTAGATCCAGTGCAGTCCAACAGCTATTGGAAAAAAACCACAGAATTCACTGTTCACTCCATAATATTGTAAGTAGAATTTGTTGTTAGTGGTACTTTTTTTAAAATTTCATGTTTCTGACATTGTTACTATCTGAGCAAGAATTACATTTAACCAAGTTGAAATTTCTTCAAAGTTGATATGTAACCTGCTCAACTTAAAATAATAGTGTATGATTTGCTATCTCTAAATCATGATCTTCCCTTGTTTCTTGCTCGTGTAACAATCACAAGTAAACAAGGGTTTACTTTCATGTAACAGGATTATAAAGTAGGGAGATATGGAAAAAAAGAAATGTTTCCTAGTCCCCATGAAGGAAATGGGAGTTACAAAGTTACTGTTTCCTTTATACCTTTATCAGAAAAAAGCATGGAGTGAATAATTTCTGGCTGTGAGCCTTATGTCTCCACAATTTCCTTTAAAGAATTAGTATGCCAGTGCTTATGAACACATGCAGATATAGATGGCATCTTTTTTTTTTTTGTCGGTCATGGGGCTTGAACTCTGGGCCTGGGTGGGCACTGTCCCTCAGCTCTTCAGCTCAAGCCGAGTGCTCTACTGCTTGAGCCACTTCGTTTACTAGTGATTTATTGGAGATACGGTGATCTTCAGATCTCAGCCTCCTGAGTAGCTAGGATTACAGGCATGAGCCACCGGCACCCTGCTAGATGGCATTTTTTGTTTTGGCTCCTTCAGTTTACAAAAGCAAAGAAAAAATCCTTTGTATTTTTTTATGGCTCACATCTAGTATGATTTAACATATTACCTCTATTCTTTCTTTTTTTTTTTTTTGGGTCCGGTCGTGGGGCCTGAACTCTGGGCCTGGGCGCTGTCCCTCAGCTCTTCAGCTCAAGGCTAGCGCTCTACCACTTGAGCCACAGCGCCACTTCCAGCTTTTTTCTTTTTTGCTTATGTGGTGCTGAGGAATCGAACCCAGGGCCTCATGCATGCAAGGCAAGCGCTCTACCACTGAGCCACCTTCCCAGCCCAAAATGTCTTTGGGATTTTTTTTTTTTTTTATAGGTCATGGGGCTTGAACTCTGGGCCTGAGCGCTGTCTTCAGCTCTTCAGCTCAAGGCGAGCGCTCTACCACTTGAGCTACAGCACCACTTCCACCTCTATTCTTTCTATAATCAGCCAAAATCATTAAATATTGGCCTAAGCAGAAAAATTACTAAACTTAAGAAAAATCTTTGGGCACTGGTGGCTCATCCCTATAATTCATTCCTATAATCTTTCTCAGGAAGCTGAGACATTAAGGGGGTCTTGGTTCAAAACCAGCAAGAGAAGGAATGTCTGCGAGACCATTATCTCCAGTAACTGCCCCGGGGGGGGGGGGGGACAAAGTGGAGCAGTGGTTCAAGTAGAGCTTGAGTAAGACAAGATTGAAAGAATAGCCTTGAGTAAAAAAGCTCAGATATACCACCAAGACCAAGCTCAAGCCCTAGGACTGGCAAAAAAGAAAAACGAGCAGGGCACCAGCAGCTCACACCTGTACTCCTACTTGGGCTGAGATCTGAGGGTCATGGTTCGAAGCCCACCGGGACAGTAAAGCTATGAGACTCATAGCCTATAAATTCCTCAAAGCCAGAAGTGGCCTTGTTCAAAAGCAGCTCAGAGACAGTGCCAAGGCCCAGATGGTTCTAGCAAAAAAGAATCTTTGGGATGATCATCTATCTCAGCATAAACAAAGTGAGTCTTCAAAATCTGAAGGGAACTAGGGAGTATCAGATGAAATAAAGCTGAAAATGAATCATTGAGGCTGGCTGTTCATGGGGTTTTCTTATAGGATGTTTTTACTTTTGAGTATGTTTCAAACTTCTTACAATTGGAAAAAAATTACATTTTAGGGATGAATTGATTTTTAGAGTATTCTGCTTTAAAAGGCAGAAACCACATTGTGAATTTGAAAACTTTCAAAAACAACTGAAATGTGAAAATATTGTGAAAAATATAAAAATTTACCTGAAGAGAAACTTCTTTGGGGAAAAGACATGAATTGGGTCTCTGGTTACATAAAATTGTGGAAGACATGAATCCGCTGTAAAACAATATTTCTTAAGGTTACATAAAATTGTGGCCAGAAAAAGTGAGTTTTGAAAGGATAACAGGTGCATTGATTTAGTTTACAACTTAATTTTACTTGTGAAGTCAAATTATTTCAGAATTTTAAAAATGGATAAGGGCAATGTATGTGATTACTTAGTCAAGGTACCTCAGCCATTTGAGATCCAAGCCTTATCTAAACTGTTAAGCTTTCTCAGCAATAATTAAGAGATAGATTAAAAATGACTATACTGAACTAAAAAATAAAAAGAGCCAAGGTAACTTCATTAAAGATACGTTGTTCATTTATTCTGAATCTTATTTGATAGATAATACCGGAAGATTTCAGCATAGCAGATAAAATACAGCAAATCCTAACCAGCACAGGTTTTAGTGACAAACGGGCCCGTTCCATGGATATAGATGACTTTATCAAGTACGTACATTTTTGTTTTCCTATTTACATATCTACTGTGATACCTTCAGATAAGAGGTGTAAGGTGCTACTTGAGAGAATTATTGCATAGCACTTCCATGGCATGGAATAATATTTGGTGCAGAAAGTGGAGGCTAGTTAGCTGCAGCAGAATGAACATTTTTCTTTAAAGTACAGTAGTAAAGAACAGTCAGAGCCATAAGATTGCCTATTAATTTGTGTTCTCATGTGTTCCTCCCTTTTCTCCCTAACCCCTATTCATTCATATCTTTAAAGTAGCCTCATAAGGTACAGCTTGTACTCTTATCCTGAACCACATTTCTAGTCCACATTAAATATATCGTAAGCATGAAATTTAATTTGTAATATGCTTGACTATTTTGTGATAGTTTTGTAACCTCAGGAAAGGTATACTTTTTGGGGGTGGGGGAGTACTAGCAATTGAATTTGAGGATTTGTTGTTCTTAAGTAGCTGCACTATCACTGGAGCCATACCTGCAGCCCTTTTTGTTCTGGTTTTCTTATCACAGGCTCTCATTTTTTTTTACCTGGGCTGGCCTAAACAGTAACCTTATTCATACTTCCTGATATAGCTTGTATGTACACCTGCCATACAAGCCTTTACTGTTGATATTAAGCCTGAAATTTTTCTCTTTAAGCTGTGATCCTGTTGCAGCCTCCTCAAGAGCTAGGATTACTGGTGTGAGCCACTGGTACCCAGCATATTCTACAGATCTTGAGAAGGTGTCATCTGTGCAATTTAGACTAAATTTGCTTTCTTTACTAAGCCAAGTACTATGAAAATAGGCCTCAGTTATTACTGGAATGTTACCTTTTTTTTTATTGATCAGTCCTGGGGCTTGAACTCTGGGCTTGGGCGCTGTCCCTGTGCTCTTCAGCTCAAGGCGAGTGCTCTACCACTTGAACCACAGCGCCACTTCCGTTTTCTGAGTGGTTTATTGGAGATAAGTCTCACACTTTCCTATCCGGGCTGGGGGCTGGCTTTGTGCCACAGGCACTCGGCAACTTGTACCGTTTTTTGCTCATGAAAAAGTTCTTTAGCCAGTTTTAAAGCATCTGTGTTCTAAGAACTTAACACTTCTGGCTGAGCCACAGGCACTCGGCAACTTGTACCGTTTTTTGCTCATGAAAAAGTTCTTTAGCCAGTTTTAAAGCATCTGTGTTCTAAGAACTTAACACTTCTGGCCCTCCTCCGGTAAAGCAGCCTGAAAATTATTTAAGGTCTAAAGGGAAGTATTTATTCTTACTACATTTCCTCAGAGTAGTTTGGTGACATGTCAGTAGGTATGAGGCTTGGCCGAATTAAAGATAATTTCATTCAAGCCCACTGCCTAGGCTATGACAAAGCGGACACCAGCATGACTTCATTTTATCTATGATATATCTTATGAATGTATTTGGAAAATAGGATTTCTTTAATTGTGTTAGGTGAGTGCTTGAGTATACTAACATATCTTTATATTAAAATTGACAGCACAAGTCTTTACATGACACAAATTAGCTTTTCAATACCAACCCCTCTTGGCTTTTTCTTCCAGATTGCTACATGGATTCAATTCAGAAGGTATCCACTTTTCATAGCTACTTGGAAAACTTCTTGATGAAACTACTAAGTACTCCACTGCACTGGGCTTAACTGCTTTTCATTTAAAATCACTGTTGTATCACTGATTATTCTGCATATTTTAAGGCAGTCAGCTGTATCAAGTTCTTTTGGTTTTGAATATACTGCACATATCCCATCTATATGTTAGTTCCAAGCTCAAGAGCCGCAGATACGCACAGTCAATGATTCATACAGTTCATCATATAAAGATATTACCTTCTATTTACTGTTTATATACTATGAGTCCCTCTTTAGGCCTTCCACTCATTCCCTTACATTAAAATAGGTTCAAATAACCATATATTCCTGTATCATTTCTTACATGTACAATAAAAATTTTTAATGTTTTTTGTTCTCATTTTCCCCAGTAGTTTTTTGATTGCTTCCCTCTTCATCTGTCCTGTAAGAGCTCAGACTACCTTGAAGGCTGTGGGGAAGCCCTGCTGCCATTGTGTGACGTGTCACTCATGCGGATTATGATCTCTTACATATAACATGAACAAAACTAAAATGAAGTTGACTAATGACATATGCCCTTTCTTGGGGAAACTCATTTGCTAATTAGAAAAGTTTCAAAGGGTTTTGCCAGACAATTAGGTTTTTTAGCAATTTTTCTCAACTTGAATTCTCTGGTGTTTGTAACTTCTGGATAATTAAAATTTCCAGTACAGATGCTTATTTAGTAAGTGTCAAGTTTTATTAGCTACTACATTTAAATAAATATACTACTACATGCTGAATGCACTATTTCATTTATATAAGAAAATTAAAATATCTTCATTGGTGGTATCTTCACATAACTTTCTTTATACCTAACGCTTAAAAAGTATACAGAGTAAAGTTAAAAAGGAAGATGCTGTTTGCCTAAACTTTTTGCCTTTGTAATCTGGTTTCCAACTCATAGTAAATGCTATTATATACTTAATGTGTATTCCTAATTACTTCTTAACAGACATCAGTTTTCAAAGCTGAGAAAGTACAAAAGAATGTTTTATCCGTAGAATTAACTATCTTATGGGTTTAATATTCAATTCTACTTTGTAAGGTCACTTTCCTTTCCCCTAAAAATAAGCTTAAGTCCCTTTTCTGGCCTTCAGTTTCCCCCTATATAAAAGCTCAAGGACTATTATTACACTTCCTCTCAAGATTTTTTCTGGTACAAATTTTTCAAATGACTGGTCTACTGTTCCACCACCATAGTCTTAAGCAGCATGCATATCTAAAACAACACCTTCCAAAGATAGTGCCCGTCAAACACAAAAAAAGCTAATCCGTTGTGCTTAAAATGAGCAATTAAAGTCCTTTACTACCCTTTGAAGATCTATCTCAAGAATTACCTTTTCATACAGCCTTTACAAGATCAATACAAAGTCCTCCATTCTTCCTTTTGTTTTTGCAATAAACACAAATAGAATATATCTTGACTACAAGAAAACCTGAGTTTCTTCCAAAATAAAGGTGACTGTATTGAAGTAAATTATGTAAACTCAGTCCATAGATTTTATTAATAGTCATTATGAAAAATCTACATTTGTTTTAGATTTCATGTTTACAGAGCTTTTCACCATGGTATTAAGAATTCTCACAGCTACTTCTGAGTTCTTGACCAGTGAAGTAGAGAATCTGGCTCATGTGACTCTATTCATAGTTTCCCTTTGGTTTACAAATGAGCTAATAGTTCCTTAGAGTAAATCAAAACAAGATATCCTTGGGAGACTTTGTCAATAATCTACTCCTGGACTGTATCATGGGAACCAAGGAAAACTCCTAGAGATATATTAAATTTTGAAACACAAATATTTACATGAAGAATGGCCAGTTTTCTTCCTCAGCAATTTGTAAAAATAAGTGCTACCATTTAAAGAGTAGCCTACCAGTATACTGGTAAGAATGCAGTTATTCTCACAAATAATGGTGAAACATCACACATTAGGTACCAGATGGAGTTTGGATGAGACCTGCCTTTCAAGGCAACACCAATTCTTTCTATTCTTTTCCAAGGGAGTTATATACTGCCTATACTTGGTTTAAACTAACTTCTATTACGGACTACTTTCAATGTACATTTAAATGTTCATGCATCAGAAGCCAATTTCCTTTTAACAGCACATTAAATAGGTAAATTTGGGGGTTCTAGTGAACACTTGAACTTAAATAATGGTATTGGTAAAGATCAAATTGCACTATTAGCCATTTTAATATCACACTGGCACACACACTGCATATATATGTATTATCCTAAGATAAAACTCTTCTCAGAATTTCGTTACTTTTTATTATACACCAACTAGTATATATTTTAGTTCTTTACAAAGAAAATGCTAAGAAAATTATGATCACATGTTATATGGTTTTAAAAATCATAATTCCAGATTTCTTTACATATAAGATGGAATGGTTCAGCAGCTATGTCCACTGTCACAGACTTTAGTTCCGTTCAATGATATGGCACATCCTGCAAAATTAACTAGTCACACACAAAAAAAGTCTCAAATACAGTAAAAATGTACACACAATAAAGGTAATTTACAATGACAAATAAGGAATGTAATTTATCTTGGCTGTGTTTAAGAAACTTAGGGTCAATAGCCTTGGTCAAGGCACAGAGCAAGAAGTGAGCACAGCTGTCTCTAGGAATTAGGCAAGGTATGTACAATCACAGATGAGGTATGCATGCACGCAAAGTACTTAAAACTGTTCAGTCTCGGTACGAAATTGAACTGAGTTAATAGGAAATGCTGTGGCTTCCCTCTACTCTCCACCTCTGGATCGTCCACAAACTTACTTCATCAAATAGAAAATAACGTTGGCAAAGATCTCCAAAAGTAAATCACTATATGGGTAAATGAAACAAAATACTTCACTAATCCCAATTCTTGGATGTATCTCCTGGACTAGAAGCATTTTGTAGACAAAAAATGTTTCACAAAATTGAAATGTCATTCAGGTAAAAGACAAGACATTTTCCACAGACACTGGAAATTTCAAACACTCAAATGGCCCTTACAGCTGAACCACTGTATGTTACAGCTGCAAGGGTTCTGGGGGTCCTTTAGCAGCAAATTCCAATTTAAAGGGCACGGGGTCTTTTCGGATTTATCTGCTTGCTAGCTTGTTCTTCTTCTTGTAGAGCTGCACGAAAAGATTTCACTTTATCTTGGAGAAAGAAAACAAAACGAAAGTTTTGATTTAGATGCAGTGTAGTATAAAGTTATTGATTCTACTCAAAGTTAATATTCTCATTTCATAACAGTAATGATTGTTTCCTTTGTTCATGTAGAACCTGAGAACTATATACAATGTTCAATTTTTACAATATTCAAGTTGTTTTATAAGAGAAGCTGACTTTTCTAGACACTGGTTTCTGCTAGGTACCTTTTACAGTGTTTTCTAGGATAGGTAGGAGATTCTTTACACACACGCACACACGCACGCACGCACGCACGCACTTGGTCTGAATCAGAACCTCTACACCCCATATAGTTGTACCTAAAAAAACAAAAACAGGTATTTCTTCTCTCAGTATTAAGAAAATCCTATTCCCCATTCTTACACCATCTTTTTTAAGCACATGCATTTTAAAAGACAGTTTAAAATTCTAGAGCTGATGCTTGCTAATAGTTCTCAAACATATTAATCCAAATTATCTAAACAGTTAAACTTTTAGAGTGATAAATGCAATATGTAGTTAGTAATCTCTTCTAAGTTATGGGTTCTAATTCATGAAATCTAAGAAAATGAAAGTCAAAGCTGAATGCTATAATCAAGAAAAGAATATTAGAATGTATTTTCTAGATGAAAGAAAATGTGATGAGAGAATGGGAAATTATGTTAGAAATCCTCTTGCAATATAAAAATTTCCCACTAAGGGGCTGGAAAGGTAGCTCAGTGGTAGAGTGCTTGCCTTGCATGCCTGAGGCCCTGGGTTTGATTCCTCAGCACCACATAAGCAAACAGAAAAAAGCCAGAAGTGGTGCTGTGGCTCAAGTGGTACAGCGCTAGCCTTGAGCTGAAGAGCTGAGGGACAGCACCCAGGCCCAGAGTTCAGGCCCCACGACTGGACCCAACAACAACAACAAAAAATCCCACTAAATACACATCATGGGCAAGCAGATTTGTACCAAGCACATTAAAATGAAAAAAAAAATTACCCCGCAGTTCAGTCAAAATATCAATTTTTTGCTCAAGAATAGCTTCAAGTTGCGTAGCATATGAATCCACATCATAGTCTACTTCTTCAGTCATCTCTAGAAGGGCCTTTTCATCCTCTAACCAGCGAATTGATTCCTAAAAATAAAAATTCAATGATCAAGTATGTCTCTGTAAAACATACCATACCAGTTTACCAATTCTGTTAAATGTAATGAAACATACATATAATATTATCTAAAATATTAATAAACATAAAACATCTTTACTGATAGCAAAATTGTAAAAATCTTTCCTTAAGTTCAAACTCAATGAACAAGATGATTCATTTCTCGCTCTCTCTCTCTTTTTTTTGTCGGTCATGGGCTTGAGCTCTGGGCCTGGGTGCTGTCTCCCAGCTCTTCAGCTCAAGGCAAGCGCTCTACCCCTTGAGCTACACCAACACTTCTGGTTTTCTAGTGGTTTAATGGAGATAGGAGTCTCAAGGTCTTTCCTGCCCGGGCTGGCTTTGAACCGTGATCCTCAGATCTCAGCCTCCTGAGTAGCTAGGATTACAGGTGTGAGCCATCAGCACCTGGCTTCACTTCTCTTTTATTCTACCTTGGGTAACAATTTTATGGAGGGAATTAATCAACACATAAATATTAAACACTGTCACAACCTCAACAGCTGTCTCTAGAATAAGGTAAGAATGAACAAAATAAAATAATGACCACGATGGGAACTATGGGAGCCTAGAATTTAGCAGCCACCCGGAATTAACATATGCAATGGGGTCTGCTTTAGTTTGAATATGGTTTTGTCACCTTTGGAACTCATTTTGGAATTAATCAGCATTGTGAGGTATTAAGAAGTAGAAATTTAATGAAAGTACAGTGTTTGGAGGTACATTTTTTGGAGAGGTAATGAGGATTAAAGTTATCAAGGTGGAATCCTCATACTTAAAAGTAGAGAAGTCAGATTATACAAGACTTTGTCCTCAAATCTTACCATGTTACTTTTCTCTAAAATTGGACAACTGACAAAAAAAAGGGGCGGCGGGGGACAAAGTTAGTTGACAGATCTTTTCATATGATGAAAAATGAAGACACTGGTCATACTTTAAGCAAACATCCTATGGGGGGAAAAAACTGCTATCGCATCTTCTACAAATATACTATATATACATAAATGCCAGCAAGTATGTTCTAAGACCTGTGTTACAGTCAGAGATTTATGGAAATTTTAGACCATAGATAGTCAAGAAATATTTTGAGGAAAGGTTATTTCAAACTTACCTGGAACACTGCCCTGTGATCTTCTACAACCTGTTCTTCCATTTCTACCATTTGGGAGACAGCTTCATGGAAAGTAAACAATTGTGGAGAAACTTCTTCTTCCTTAAAATAGAAAATAAATTATGACAGCTTATTATTTAAATGTTATAAAAGGATCTTTTTGTTAGTTTTGATTCTGGAGAGTGAACCTGGGGCTCTACATGCTGCAGACATTCTGCCACTGAGCTCTTACAGTAGATTTTTCAGTGACATTTTAAGTTATTATTCAAAATAATAAAGTTGGAAAGGTGAAGATTATTAAAATACACAAACATGAAAAAGGCACAACGTCTTTCTACAGATCAAAATAATGTAATTCTCAGTTAAGAAAACTTCACTAGAGATAACCTTATAATGACATCATGAATAATAATTTTCACTTAGCCTAGGCTTTACTGCAAAATTACTCTAAAAAAGCAATCTCTGTATGAATAGGCCAATATAAATTTGTCATAAACACGTCAAAATATTTCATTAGTACTGATTTGCATATAGTTGTGTATATTTCCTTAATACTCATTGGTGACTGAGTATGTCTGTGTATGCGAGTATAGGGGCTTGACTCAAGGCCTCATGCAATTGCTTTTTCACTCAATGCTGGTACTCTATCACTTCCAGCTTTTTGCTGATTAACTGAAGGTAAGAGTATTGGATTTGTTTGTCCCAAATGGTTTTGAATGATGATTCTCAGTTCTTAGCCTCCTCAATAGCTAGGATTACAGGAGTAAGTCTCATTTACCATTGCCCAGCTATATTATTTCTTATCATTAACAATTTGATTTATCTACATATATAAGTCTCTGACTTAGGGACAGTTTAGCTCATAATTTGATGACTTTATGATGTCATGAAAGAAGTATACATTGCAAAACCAGACTTCAAATGTTCTTGTTCTAAAAAAGAATCTTGTATGTAGCCCAGGTAGGCCTCAAACATGTTATCCTCATGACTGCTGGGATTATATACTACCAAGCTGAGTTTATATTTCTTAAACGAGATATAAAGACATCTTTAGATGGTAGACACATTATGTCCTTCAAGAAAATTACCAGACTCAACTTGTACTGTCATTAATTTTCATTTACATTATACAGTTTGTTTACTAACTGTGTGTGTGCGTGCACACATACGCATGCATGACCACTGCAAGCAAGTCCTACAACTTGAATTCAGGACCTCTGTGCTGTCCCTGAGATTTTTGCTCAAGGCTAGAGCTGTATCACTTGACCCAGAGCTCCACTTCTGGCCTTCTGGTAGTTAACTGGAGATAAGTCTCATGGACTTTTCTGTCCTGGATGGCTTCAAATCTTGATCTCAGCCTCCTGAGTACAAAGGATTATAGGCATGAACACCTGGCTACTTACTGATTTTTACAGAAAAAAAATTTTTTGTTTTAAGACACACAGTCTTTGGGCTGGAAAAGTGGCTCAGTAGTAGAGTGTTTCCCTTAAATGCATGAGGCCCTGGGTTTGATTCCTCAGCACCACATATGCAGAAAAAGCCAGAAGTGGTGCTGTGACTCAAGTGGTAGAGCGCTAGCCTTGAGCTGAAGAGCTGAGGGACAGAGACCAGGCTGAGTTCAGGCCCCATGACCAACCAAAAAAATAAATAAAAATAATATAAACGTATGCTTAATTTTTTTGTAAAATTTGAGTAAAAAAAAAAAAAAACAAAAAACAGGCAGGGCGCCGGTGGCTCACGCCTGTAATCCTAGCTACTCAGGAGGCTGAGATCTGAGGATCATGGTTCAAAGCCAGCCCCAGGCAGGAAAGTCCATTAAGACTCTTATCTCCAATAAACCACTAGAAAACTGGAAGTGGCACTGTAGCTCAAGCAGTAGAGTGCTGAGGGACAGTGTCCAGTCCCAGAGTTCAAGCCCCATGACCGACAAAAAAACCCAGGAATATCTTCAGTTCTATTCCATTTTAATCTAGCTTGTTAAAACATAATATTAAAGAATATACCCTGCATCAGTACTTAACTACAGGGTGATTCGGGATCATCCCAGGAGGTGAGAAAAGTAAAAAGAAATATATATTGTAAAACAGTGTAAAAATCTGTGATGCCATACTTAAAAGCCCTGGATTACTTCTGGTCACATAGTCAACCTAATGGCTCAACATTATTTACAAGAATAAAATGCAAAAAAAAGATACCCTATAGGAAGTGTCTGTCTTAATCTGACTTTGTCTTTGGGAGATACCAGATCTAGGTACAATGCAAGGATTGTTTTGTGCACTCAAAGTACAACTGCAGTCTTTTCAAAACTTCTGGAGCAGATGGATTTTGGTGAGGATCTCATTTTTGAGTGTTACTTTCTGAAGTTCAAAGTGCAGAACTCTCTTTAACCCAGGTTTTCTTAACCTTAGAACTACTGACATATTTAGGGACTAGAGTAAGGGGCTGTGTCCTGTACAATGTATTATGCACTACCTATTAGATGCCAGCAGCATCATCCCACTTGTGATAGCCAAATAATGTGACCACACATTCTGTCCTGGGTAGGTCAAATCATTTTTGTCAGCAGCACTACAGTGCTGCTGTCAGCCCAGATTTGGTAATGGAGAGAGGTATGGTAACAAAAAGTAGCATTTTCATGTTACTTTAGAATACTTTAGACTTAACATCTACTAAAAATATTAGAATAAGTTGGGCACTGGTGCTCATGCCTGTAATCCAAGCTACTCAGGAGGCTGAGATCTGAGGATCACAGTTCAAAGCCAGCTGGGGCAGGAAAGTCGATGACACTCTAATCTCCAATAAACCACTCAGAAAACCAGAAGCAGCACTGTGGCTCAAGTGGTAGAGCGCTTGCCTTGAGCTGAAGAGCTGATAGGCAGCGCCAGGCCCAGAGTTCAAGCCCCACAACCGACAAGAAGTTACCTTGTTGTAAGACTATTATTATATTTCAGAGGACAGGAAGCTTAACTTGATAGAATTTGGCTATGGCATACAGATTTAAGATTCTGACATGGGCCTAATCTTGGCCCAGATGATTAAATCTCTTCAAATATCAACCTGAAAGTAGGGATAATTATAGCCCTTACCACAATGAGTTGTTAGGATTAAATAAGACAACTAAAAAATAACTAAATAAGGGCTGGGAAGGCAGCTCAGTAGTAAAGCGCTTGCCGTGCATGCATGAGGCCCTGGGTTCAATTCCTCAGCACCACATAAGTAGAAAAAAAAAGCCGGAAGTGACACTGTGGCTCAAGCGGTAGAGCGCTAGCCTTGAGCTGAAGAGCTGAGGGACAGTGCCCAGGCCCAGAGTTCAGGCCCCACGACAGGATCCCCCCCAAAGAAACAAAACAAAAAAAAAAAATGAAAAACCTAAGTAAAATGTCTACCAAAAATGCATGCCCTCTAGTAAGTAGCTAGTAAATTTGTCGTGAGAAAATGCCAGGATTACAAAAATAGCTTTATATCACACAGAAAGCTTAACTACTTCACTGAAAGTGTATTGTTTGTGCTTGCCCTGCTTTAGGTGAAGGTTTATAATTACATTCTGCCATTGATTTTAAAAAACTTACATCAGTTACTATTCAGTCACTCACATTTTGTTCACAAAGAAGTTTTAGATCATCCCTCTGAGGGGAGCTTCCCACACCCCACTGTGTCTCTAAATCATCAATCTGGTTTGGTGGATGGTGCATTATGGGACGGACATCACCAGCAGCAGAAGGATCTACCGTCAGTTCTTTCACCCTATAAATATAAGCATCTAAGATTAAGAAAGACACTTTAAAAGAAACACAAAAAAAACCTTCATCAATATAAAAACAATTCACAAACTAAAACTGATGATGTCACCTTTGTGGTCAAATTTATCTGAAATGAATGGAAACATCTGTGGTTGTTTAATTCAAAAAGTTTAAGAAGAAATTTTACAATAACTTCAAGTTGAATTGAATAAAATAAGTAAAAATTAGCACTAAGTATATATATTCAAAAGAAATGTTATCACTGCAAAGCATCATGGCAAAGCATTTAAAATAGCATTTAGATGCACAAATTGGTCATGTTAAAATCTGTAATTTGGGAAACTTCCATTTACTAAACTTCTGATAGTCACAATGTTCAATAATAAGATAGCTAAATAGGAAACCCTTTTGTTTCTAATGTACAAATACTATAAAATTTTAATTTCTATTCTTTTTAAATGCTTGCTCATCATGCTTGAATATACACATTTGGAAAAGGGTATCCTCTAAATCAAGAGGATTCTTGTTATTTTCTTGTAGAGAAGGAAATACAAGATTCTAAAGCTTAAATTCTTCATTTTAAGCAAAACAATTTAGCAGTTAGTGGCAAATATATGAAAGTGACATCATCCTTTAAAAAATGAAGCCCAAATTCTAAATCAACATTTTAAAGCAAATGAATAAAGGACATAAAAATGTAGATCATGCAGTACAACCACCACCTGCCAAATGAAATGAAAATAAAAAATAAAATGGCTCAGGACAAAAGCAGAAAATAAAATGTTTTATCCATAGACAACTCAAAAGAAACTATTAAACATGTTACGTATAGAATGAACTAGACCTGGTAATCGAAGGAGAAAAGTCGTCATATTCATAAGAAGGAGAGAGATCAGGGCGATTGCCACTACCCTGTGAGAAGGGAATGTCTGATGGACTAATTCCAAACTCCTTTACTCTGCAGTACCAAAACAGCAACAAATGAAAAGGAAATGTTCTTGTGAAGTCGGCAATGTACATTTCAAGTTTTTAATTAGTACTATTTTGTTTCAAAAAGGATTTCAATCCAAAAGGGTTTCACACCACTGCTATAATCATGTATTTAAGATTATTTTTTAAAAAAATAGTCCATATTAAGAAGTTTTTGAGTTGCTTCATCCTATGGATCCCCTACTTGAAAAACCTGAATCTTGTGCTGGGCACCAGTGGCTCATGCCTGTAATCCTAGCTACTCAGGAGGCCGAGATCTAAGCATCACGGTTCAAAGCCAGCACAGGCAGAAAACTGGAAGTAGCACTGTGACTCCAGTGGGAGAGCATTCACCTTGAGCTGAAGAGGTCAGGGCCAGTGGCCAGGCCCAGAGTTCAAGCCCCATGACCAACAACAACAACAACAAAAACAAACAAACAAACCTCAATCTGCTGGGGCACCAGTGGCTCATGCTTTTATTCCTAGCTACTCAGAAGGCTGGGATCTAAGAATAGAGGTTCAGAGCCAGCCCCTACAGTCCCGTTGCGACTTTTATCTTCAGTTTATCACCCAAAAACCAGACGTGGCACTATGGCTCAAGTAGTACAGATCCCAGCCACCTGAGTAGCTAGAATTTTTATGAGCCACTGGCGCCCCAGCAGATTCAGGTCTTTTTTATTTTTTATTTTTTTTTTAGTTTTTTTTGAAATGTATTTGCCACACATGCTGGCAAGTTCACTTTATTCTTTTTACTCCAAAGCTCATTTCTCATCTTGAAAATTTAACTTGAACACCCTTTAACCTCATGCACCTTCCTTCCCAAACCAAATGTTACTACTTGCAGGAATCATAATTCTCAAATATTATTATTATTATTATTATTTTGTCAGTCATGGGGCTTCTTGAACTCTGGGCCTGAGCGCTGTTCCTGAGCTCTTCAGCTCAAGGCACTTGAGCCACAGTGCTACTTCCAGTTTTCTGGTGGTTAACTGGAGGTAAGAGTATTCTTATAGACTTTCCTGCCTGGGCTGGCTTTGAACCATGATCCTCAGATCTCAGCCTCTTGAGTAGCTAGGATTATAGGCATGAGCCACCAGCACTTGGCTCAAATATTACTCTTAAAACCTTTTTTTTTTTTTTTTTGCCAATCCTGGAACTTGAACTGAGCTCCTAGACATTGTCCCTGAGCTTGCTTTGCTCAAGGCTAGCATTCTACCACTTGTGCCACAGCACCACTTCTGGCTTTCTTCTGTTTATGTGGTACTGAGGAATTGAACCCAGAGTTTTATCCATGCTAGGCAACCACTCTACCACTAAGCCATATTCCCAGCCCCTCTTAAAAACTCTTAATTACTGTTTCAACCAAGACCCAATCACTCCAATTTTTCTATTAAGCAGAATGTTCTTTCTGCTTCAGAAAGAGACAACTCTTGTTTCTCATTTGTCCTGCATAGTTCAAGGACAGCCACTCCTTTTACTATACTATCCTCTGCATATCAAATTTTGTCAGAGAAATGCAACTGGATTTATCTTCACCTTGATCACTTAGCATCAGTGTACTGTTATAAACTATCCCTCAATTCCCACAATGAAGTGTAAAACCATTTTCCTTGAATATTACTGAAAACAGAAATGCTCATAAAGTAGCAGACAGAATAATAATTTACATACATTACCTATCTCAGTTCTTAAATCAATCCTTTATGAGAGACAATGAGGTCAGAACACATTGAGGCTTTGCTACCATAGGTAATGAGCAGGCATGAAACTCATTTTTTTTTTCTTGAGATCCAACATTCCTGAATCTCTATGCTAAAGCCATGAAAGGCGAAGAAAAAATGCAAGATTAACAAGTTCCTAAAAATAGGGGAATTAATGTAAGGCAATACTGATTGTTCTTCAGATCATATAAATATTTCACCTTTTAAAAATATCTTAAGGCACACTTAATTTTAAAGACAAATAATTTCTCTTTGCTTGCAAAAACAGTAAGTGTAGTCAGGGGCCAATGGTTCACTCCTATAATCCTAGCTACTGAAGAGGCTGAGATCTCAAGATTGTGATTTGAAGCCAGCCCAGGCAGGAAAGTCCATAAGACTTTTTTTTTTTTT